TAGTATAAATGAAGGTTAGCATGAGATCTTGATCTTATAATTGCCAAATTTAATACTTGTATTTGTAATTATTAGTTCATTCAATTTTTAGTTGCAACAGTTTCACTACGTATATTAATGCATAACTTTGATGCTTGATAATTCGATCCATTAACGATTTCTATATATACATTGAGACTAATAATTCGAGAACATATTACAATCAACTTTAAATATGTTAATAAATTTAAGAGTGCAAAATCCAAATATAATGTTGTAATTAAAAAGAACAGACAAATTACATATTCTTGGGTAAAAATATATTACCATTCTTCTTCTTCTGCCTGAACGCCTTAATCTCATAAGTGGGGTCGACTACATGAACTAACATGAGGACTTCCCAGGAGTTCATCCATCATAGTACTACTCTCAATTATTGTGGTTCATGTCAAACGATGTGACAAAGTTTTACACTGGCTGTCACTAGCCTACCGTAACCCTGCTCCTTTATCCAAGCTTGGGACTGGCAGCGGAAAACCCTCCATAAAAATGTATTACCATTGATCACACAATATGCAATTCCAACAGCTAAACAAGACAAATAGATAATGCTTCGCGACAAGATTGAGTATCCTAAATACTAAATAATAACGGATTTTTCACCAAATACCACTGGGTTAATGCGTAATTCACCATATACCACACAAAATTTTCTAATTCACCATATAACACTGAGTTTAACATAAATGTCACAACATGCCATTTCCGTTAACTCAGTTAGTCATTAACGTTAATTATGCCACGTGGCAGTTTGTAATTGGTTCTAATTAATATTATTTATTTAATTAATTAAATTTAGATAAAATATTTTAAAAAATAAATAAAAATTAAACACCACCAATACAAGCCACCGCCACCCCTGGCGGTAACAATTGCGATCCCAGCCACTTCCCAGATGGCCGGCGACTGCCCTCCCCTGGCCCCTTCCCCCCGCCGGCGACATTCTCGACCCCTTCCTCCTACGCCGGCGACCATCCCACTCCTACTCCCCTTCCCCGAAAATCATCCCCCACCTGTAACCCAATTCCCGATTTCCTCGCCGGACTCCCCTTCCCCGATTCCCGATCTCTCTAACCCTAAAAAAATCCTCAATTTCCCTCTTGCAAATCCCAATTGGAATATCGACGGGAAAGAAACCACCCATCAAATCTTGACGAAGAGAGAGAAGGTCGAATTAGAAGCGAATTTGTTCGAAAAAAATGCTGATAAGTCGAATTGATGTTGTTGTATGGTTGCAGATTTTGAGTGTTGTCGGTTCAGGGGGAGAGGGAGGCCGACGCGCTGGCGAGAGAAAGGCTGGGCGCCGGCGTGGGTGGGGGCGGGATAGGGTGGTGGCTGGGGGTTCTAGTCATATTTCGTGCAAGCAGGGGATGTTAGGATAGGGTGGTGGTTGGCTGGGAGACGTTGGTGGTTTGGGAGGAGGACGGGAAGGGGAGATGGCAGGGGTAGGGGGAGCTCTGGAAGGCCGGCGAGGGAGGAGGCTAGGCAAGGCCGCCGGCGAGGGAGGAGGCTGGGCAAGGCCGCCGGCAGGGAGGGGGAGCTGGGCTGGTGGAGTGAGGAGGTGGTGGCTGTTTTTTTTTAATTCTTTATTTAACTAATTAATTAGATAATATTAATAAGAGCCAATATGTGACAGCCACGTGGCATAATTAACCTTAATTACTAACGGCGTTAACGGCAGACTAACGACAGTTAACAAAAAGGGCATTCTGTGTTAATATACATTAACTCAGTGGTATATGGTGAATTAGAAAATTTTGTGTGGTATATGGTGAATTACGCATTAACTCGGTGGTATTTGGTGAAAAATCCGAAATAATAATCATATATTATGCATACATACAAGTTCAAATACATAATTACTTACCTAATGAGATGGTCAATAAGTCCCTAAATATGAAACTACATTCATACGATAATGTTGGGAGAAAGATTTACACAATGAATAAAAAGTATAGAAGTCGCACTTAAGTATATATGTCCCCATAAAATTAGGAGTACTCCACATAATTTTTGATGATGTTATTAATTAAAGGCTGAGTTTTTAGTGGCTAGTTGCCAATTGGGAGAATCCTAGCATATCATGGTGGTTCCTTTTCCCCCACACACTTAGGTAAATTATAATCATCCAATTTGCTTGTGCTTTTAGACTAACATGTCATATTTTCTCCAATTATTTATAGGAAATTGCTATAAAATCTATTAATTAGTTTAAATCTAATTTAGACATTGTAAAGTGTTATATACATCCCTAAAGCATATTACTCTTATTTTCAAATAACTATGTTTTTTATTTTTTTGAGAAGCTAGAAATTATTCCAATATTACCTTGTTTGAACTATGATTCTCTATATATCTTTCTCCCGTCCCTTTTTTTTCTATCTCAATTCTCTCTTATTATGCCGTGTATTTTTCCTGCATTACGATTATGAAAAAAAAATGGATAAAGTATATGTCTAGCTAGCCAAAAAAACTTTATTAAACAAACTAAAAATAACATGGGGACAATAACTTTTGCTTTTAGACGTTTCAATAATATCAACCTCGTGATTATGCATGGTGACTAAGTAACATATCTCTTAAGTATGGTTAAAATTTGAGGTTAATTAATCCCTTTGCTTGAAGATAAAAATGTCACCTCATTGGCATAACAATTTGAAAAAGAAAGAATAAATTTGTTACCCCACTAGTGTGGCAAGCAATTACTCCTTTTTCTTTATGCTCCATCCTCTTTATAATTATTATTTTTCCTTAATTTCTCTTACAAAAACAAAAGATTATCATGAAAAAAAAAAAGTAGTGTACAAGAGCCACTCATCCAAATTTATATCCACCCTTTTAGGATTTGCGCCATCTCAAATTTCCATCTTCATCTTTCACACCTTTTTTTTTTTCCTTCTCATATTCCTCGATTTGGCATCAATTGGTTAATCACTCGAGGATAATCAATTATTAGATGGAAACTATATTTTTGTTATTAATTAGTTTCTCCAATCCAACATATACGTCATACAATAAGTTTTTTAATACAAGATTAACATATATAAATATTAGCTTTGCAGATACACTATATGTGCGCCACCATATGAGTATCAATACTAATATAAAACAATATAAAGTTACTAATATTGGTTAATTATAGCTCAAGTTGATAGCTTATGTCATTTGAATATTTTGTTGTACAGTTTACTAATAGAGTATAAAACATATTTTCGGACCTCAACCATCATTTTAAGCTTTTTGAGGCCCAAGAATATGTAATTAATTTTTATGTTTAAAAACAAAAGTGACCCATTTTAATTTGACACTAGTGTGAGGCTCGAACGATGCTCCGGTTCATTACTATAGTTATCATATTCCAATATTTAAATTTCTATATACATAGGGCATCATAAATATTATTAAACAATAGAATAACTTATGGAATATATATATATATATATATATATATATATATATATATATATATATATATATATATATATATATATATATATATATATATATACCCCAATCAAAGTTAGATATATAAGTAAAAGCGTTAAATATAAAAGTATAACTAAAAGTTGATTAAAATGGTTAGACTTTCAACTTAATTATTGTTGGTCAAATACTATAAAGATCATTTTTATTAGCATTAAAAAATGTTGATTGTGGATTATGTGGCAAGTTTCTAGTGTTTGAGAAAGGTGTCACGTAACACATATACTTTCTTAAAAACGCCTTTTAATATATTAGTCTAGATATGAACTAGAACCGATCAAGATGGGCCCTGCCCGATTTTGGGTGGGCCAGACATATTTTTTGGCCGGGCCTTGGACAAACATTCTGCACATTTTTAGTTGTTTTTGGCCCTATTCAAAATGGCCCAAAAAGCCCACTAAGCCTGACAAAAATTTACGGGTTTGAGCTAGCATATTCGGCCTGAACCTTGGCCCAACCCGACTTGATGTGCTTATTTTTTAATCTTTGGCTCGGGCCGTCCAATGATCACCTCTAATATGAATATTGTATTTTTCTCAAATTTGACATATTGATAGGCATGTTATGGTCTAAACAAACTTGACCTATTGATAGGCATGTTATAGTCTAAACCAACTTTCATGACTTCGGGGGATACCCTACACGTTCACTTTACATTTGAAAAAAAATCTCGGAATTGGTCAAAAAACATAGATTATAGCCTTGATGCTTCCTGTGAATCTTAAAGACTGCAGGAGGCTAAGACCTTTATAACCCTTGGAAACACCCTACACGTTCACTTCACTTTTGGAAAATAAATTTTCTCAAAATTGGTCTAAAAGCATGGATATAGCCTTCATTTTTGGGCAGCATTTCGAAACACTGAAAAGAATAAGATCACAGCGATTCCCACGGACCTCACGAGACTCTGGAAGGTCATTTGGGTGATTGGAACCATCTCTAGCTATTTTTGATTACCAATGCAACGAAAAACTACACATCCTCAAATTTGAATCAAACCCATTCTCATAACTTTAGTTTAATCTAGCCTGGCTCCATAAACTAGCTGTATCCATCTAAAAAATTCTACACTTAATACAATAATACACATAAATGCAAAATTCCCTAAAGAGATCATCTTTCTCTATAAGGAATGAAGATATGTAGTTTTCGAATGTCCAAGATTGGAGCGAGGGCAATAGCAATAAGGGGTTTATCACGAGGTGTGTAATGCAATTTTGATGTTTAAATCATTGTCTGATTTTTCTTTTAACATCTGCCTGTAATTTTAGATTCCGGCGTTTTTCAGATGTTTCCCTGAACAGACAGATATATCCATACTTCATGTTGGCACCCTGAACAGACAGATACATCCATACTTCATGTTGGCACGGTGCGTAACAGAGAAGTCTAACGATTATCACATCATCTGGCTGCGCCTGAAAACATAGAGCTCCAGTGAACAGAAAATTACAGATTAAACGAGATCATTTAGTCTATGGTGCCCAGATAAGGTATTTTCTTACGTGAATCTATATGCATAGAAAAATTTTTGCAGAAGAAATGCATGATTCAGTTTACCGATGCATGTCTAATCGTCATGTACACAATATTTCCAAGGCTTCCAACGTTTGCTCACGTAAGAGTTCCACAACTAGCAGTACATAATTCTAGCAAGCTAAAACCAAATGAGGAACATAGAAAATTAGACTACATAGATCTCATTGTGATGCGGCCACTTCACGAGCTGAGGGATCAACTTCACCTTCATTTCCACCGTTGGACTGCTTAAAAGCCTTGGAGATCTCATCAATTGGTATCAATGGAACATAGCTAAATACATCGTACCCTTTCCCTCTTAATTCTGAGATCGTTTTGTTGTATTTTTCAGACCAATGTGCAGCTGTTGGAACTGTCATCTCGGCTACCATGTGAATGGGTGGGAACTTGTCAAGTTTTGACCAGATTTTCACTGATTGATAAAGAACCAACTCCTTCGATTCATTGGCAGCATATTGGGCTGCTGCTAGAGGGCCGCCAACTTGGGCTTGGTGAACCACCTCTTTGGCTAGTTGGGTTGTTTGATCGATCACAAAGTGGACTTGGGTTACCACCTGCTTAGCCAATGGAGGTGCATGCTCATCAAATTTGGCACTAGCTACATCAACCTGTACAAACACAGTTCAATTCCCATAAGTTATATTTCACTACTTTTGATTTTCATAGATTTCTTTATAGTTAATTTAATCTGGTAAGACTTGTAAATATATAGGTCACAGATCATAATCAATGTTTGCGAACTGATAACAATGAACTAGCAACCGATAAACAAAATAAGCAATAAAAGACAGGACAACAAAACAGAGGATTTCGGTTTACAACTGAAGATTGAATCATAAACATTTCTGAGTCATTTCATATCCTTTGCTAACAGAGGCTGCATAAAATAAGAGAGTAGCCCACAATATGACATAACAAATGATCTATTTCGGCTTAATTCTTCTCACCTTAAAGCGATATGATATTAAGGGTCAATAAGTTCCGATAAGGAGAATGAAAGTGAAACGAAAGAAGTTTTCGTTTCGAAATTCTTGTTATATTCATACTCCTACATCAAATAGTACTTGTTTGACACTACAATTTGCAATAACTTTGAGCCCCATAAGGTGCTTCTCTAGCAGTAAGCAGTGCAGGAAAGAGTATTAAACAGCAAATTATTTACATCACTTGCTTCTACTATAAAGATAAACTCAAAATTATCATAAATTCTGAAAGATTAAAGATCAATATTTACATAGCAAATCTTACAAAGTTACAAGTATGAAATCACCAAAATCATAGTCCAAACTAGATTATGTAGTTATGTTAAAGTCTTTGTAATACTTAGAAGAGTAACTAGAATACCAAAGCACCGATATAGGTACGTGTCCAAGTGTCAGACTCGATCATCTTATGAAGTACGTAACACACACACGAAATATGATTATATTTTTGTACCATTAAAAGGAGGGATCAAAATGAATTGAGACCTTCAAAGATTAATTAACTTCTATCAATAATCCTAATGATAGTTTACCATAATCAAACAATCAATTAACTAACAAATAATCAACTAAACACAACAATCAAGTAACCCAAAAAGAAAGCAAACACAACACAAATCAACATAACTAACCTAAATAAATCAAATCACGTCTACATCACTACCCTTCGGCGTAAATAAAAAGAATCAGAAAATAAAAATTAAAAAAATTATACCTTTTCATCAAGAAAAGCAAGGAGATGATCAGGAACATCCTTGAATTTATTGTATACAGGAGTGACCACAGTAGTAACAGCACCTTCAACAGTACCAACAGCTGATCTCAACGGTCCAGAATTAATCTTAGCATAATCATAAAGATTTGTCAACCACACGATTGTGTTGATTGCAGCAGCTCTCACAAAACCCAGATGTTTCAATTCTTGTTGCTTATTGTTCTTCATTTCATCACTCTTTTCCATCTTAATTTTCCCAGAACAAAAAATTCAGAGATTTAGAAAAAAATTTTATAAAAACTTAAAAACCCAAATCAATTTTTTTATTTTTTGACAATAAATCAATTTAATTGAAATATATAGAAGGTGAAAGATTGTACCTTGGCAATATCGAAATGACCAGAAGTTTCTTGAAGCAAATGATGTAAGGATGGATTGAGGAATCTTAAAATTGATGGTTTGGGGGTATTATGATTATTATATTTTTGTATTGTGGAAAGAAAAGGGGAGAAAGATCTATAATATTCCTATGATCTAATGGTGGAAAATGAATCTTAAAAGGTTGTTGAGTTTGAATCCCACAAGAGTTGGAATCTTTTTATATACTCTTCTGGTCCTCCCTCCAATAATTTTTTTTTTATTTAGTCCGCTTTGGCTTTTACACCATTTATCACCCTTTCTTGACCGTCTTTTGCGAATTATATGTAAGGAAAAACATATTCATATAAAATTTTGGTAGTATCGTCTTAATAAGTATTCGTATAACTATAATAGTTATTACTTATAGAGAATTAAAGTTATTGATGGTTATAATTCTGTATTGGCAAGCGTGATAAATGAAATGGGTCAAGTAAAAAAAACAGTGGAAGTATGAAGTACAGTATGAGATAAACAAGTCAAAGGAGGTGTTTCGTAAAGAGCTTATTAGGACAAAATTAGCTTATTAAACCAATATTACCTAATTGACCACTAAATAAGCTGGAGTGTCTAGTGGTGAGATGATTTAAAGAGTTTATTCCACCATATAAGCTCCTTAAAGAAGCTTTTTCATTAGTTGATTCAATATGTTGAGGTGAAATTACACTTATATTTCCATTTAATCTAAAACCTTATCTCAGCACCCAGGATTAGTCTATTGGTCATTTTGCATACTCAAACAACTTTAAACAATTAACTAACATATTATATAATCAGCTAATACAATTAGTAAAACAAATCAATTAATACAATCATCTAGTCATAATTCAGCTAACATAATCAGTTTCAGCTTATCACTAAATACGACCAAAGAAGGAACAACATAAAGTTTGAATACTATTTTATCTTTGCCTCAAGCATACTATAATGGTTACACTTTATTATTTCTTTTAAGATTAAAGTTTAAAATTTTATATCCAATACTTTCACTATACAAAACTTTAGGGATTAAAATGTCAGCCGCTAAGATAGTACCATATTACAGTACATATTATTCTTTCAACATCAAATATAAATAACCATTGAAATCATAACAATAATGCAAATATGCAATAACTCTAAGCATCGTCCGAGTCCAAGCACTAGTTAATACAGAGCATTTAAATTATAGTTGTTTCGTCTTATATTGTAAGAATGTGAAGTTTTATATTTCATAAGAAAAGAGTAATTAAAGATATTAATGGACAAAGATGTTCACTAACTATAGTAAAATTCAATTGTTTAAGTAAAACAAAGATTGTATAGTGGTATAAGTAGGTCAATTTAGATTTTGATACTTTTGGATCAGTAAACTTGTTCAAATTCATTAAAACTAGATTAAATTGGACATTGGTCAAGAATAGTTGAGCTTAGACACTAACCAAGTAACCATATAGAGATTAGTTGCACCATGTGACCAGCCACATATAAGAGTTAGTGTAAAATAAAAGGAGGAAACATAAGAAAACAAAAGAAATTAAAAATTACTTCCTACTGTATTACTTCATCCGTTTCTTTTTAGTTGACACGTATCTTTAATCATGTTTGTCAATGCACAAATTCAACTATTAATATCTTTAATTACCGATAAGCAAAAATTATGAAAAATTGATATTTTGAAAATATATATTGTATCAATTCTAACAAAATCCCACATGACTATATTTTTCATTATGTATAAGCACAAAACACGATCAAAGTAAATGTGTGAATACTGAATAGTGGTAAAGTTAAAATGTGTCAATTAACAAAACGGAGGTAGTATTATGAAATTTTTTTATTCATGTGACTATGCAAGGACAATATTGTGATAACTTTTACACCGAATTTGATTTGATTGACATATTACATTGAAAACAAACAACGAAGGAAATTGCGGGCAGAAATGTGTGGTTGAGAAATTGGAGACTATTGGTTTAGCCATGTGGCAAATGTTGAATACAGACATAATTGTTGCTCCAAAATATCTTCTTGGATTACTATCCCTTAATTCTTCAAAAAAATAAATAATAAAAAAAAATACCATGCCTTAATTAATTTATTTCGTATTTATATTTAACGGTCTACCTCAGGCCATAGTCCGGCTGGATTAAGGCCCTTCCAAGCCCACTCCATTCTCGATTGCCAATCCATGGGCCGTAAGCCCATAGCACAAATAAAATGATAAAATATCAAATAAATTTGACATTGTAGCTATTTATTGATTTCAATATCTCATAATACTAGTACAAGAAACAAGATTTTATTAACTGATCAGAACAAGGTATAAGGACCACAATTCATGTTGACACAACGCATAATAGTGAAGTTTAATGGTCACCTATATCATCTGGTTGCGGCCGAAAACAAAGAGCTCAGATGAATTGAAATTACAAATGTTTAACATGAGATTACAATGTTGAGTGCCCGGTAAAGGCAGTAAGTTTTTTCATAAGCTACTTGATTACAATTGACACACTTTGACACAAGAAAATTTACTCAAAAGAAGAGAATACTGCTCGTACAGCTAAAGCCGAACATCCAAGGAAAGACAGGCTTACCTTTCGAATGGATCCCCTCTATTTGAGTTTGAAGATGGATAAACAGCTGCAGCTACTTTATGTCTCAGATTGAATTTTTGGGCAATCAATGGCCGAACATCTTCCACCCTAGCCAAGCTCTCGAGAAATGGAATTAAGTGCAGTAGTTCTTGATCTGAACGGTCATCAAACCAACTCTCAACGGGAATTCCGTTGTCGACTTGAAACCCAAATGCCTACATCAGACAAACTTGCCTTAAATTTTCTGACAACCTAATACAATGATAGCTTGAACACCATGCTAAGTAAAAGCATTACCTGTCTTATCCCCATGATTGACAACCTAATCGCGGGGATAAGAAGTTGAGACAAGGTTGTAGATTATTTGGGAGTATTTTTGTAAATTTGGTTACAAATATACAATGCAATGACAATATTGACAACAGGAAAATGGTATAGCTGTAGGCTGTAGCCTATGAATGAAACTCATCTTACTAGATGCATTAGATCAAAAGAAAATAAACAAGCTGGTTTAGAACAAATACCTGCGGGGAATTGTCGATTATTATAACACGTGATAAATCACGACCAAGAACAGATAAATCTTTTAAGTAGTTTCCCTCCACATAAACACATGATTCACGAAATACACGATGACGAAACACCCTCCTCTTTGGATCCAACACATTGAGAAGCTGTTCAGCATAAATACTTTGGCTGGCGGTAAAAATAATTATCTCAAAAAGACCGGCAACCCTTTCCATAAAATCTTGAAGGTAGGGACGACATCGGACATATACAGTATGGTCCCTCTCATTGAAGTTGACAGTAAATGTGAAGTCTGCATCACCACAAGGTTCAAGACTGGAATGGACTAATGTCTCTGCCATGAAAAAATAGGTTTGCTTTCAGTTAGAGAACATGTATTGACTTTGGCGCACTGAATTTATCATACAAGCTATGTTGTTCGGGCTCTATACTTCGCCTCAAGCACATTCGGGGTATGGACACTATATAGATTTTTTTTTTCCATAGAGTAGTCAGGTCTAAGAATTGACGCATACCCGTGAATGATGAGTTCCTGAGTCCGAATAACATAGCAAATAAGTTAAGGAACCACATAATGCAATATACAGTATATGGACTTTCTCCAGCACTGTTATCCTTACTAACCATCAAGGTCCAAGACGAGAGTGTTTGGGGGGCATCTACGGGTTTGTTTAGGTAGCAGCATCTGGCGAAATGTTGGAACAACTGTTGACAATTCGGGTAAATTTTTTATAAAGAAGTACGGATCAAAATCATCGAATTCCTCATAATATTCCTCGTCCTCCTCCACAGAATCTTGTCCAAACTCGTCCAAGCATTCCAGTTTTGAATTCTTCATAGCAAGGTAAATCGCTGAGACTTCTGAAGACATGCAGGCCTCTTTTGTGTCTGGATGATGAAAGAATGAAAAAGCATATGTTCACAATAACTAATAATTATAACACCAAAAAATTCTACTTCAAGTCAAGCAAATACAGCAGATGAAAGATAGCATTTTTGGATATATCTAGGACTCACCTGTTTCCGAAATATCCTCCCCGGCACTTTTTGATAAGTGAAATGATGGTGAAAAGATAATACCCGAATCACAATGAGCACTCTCCTCATTCCATTCCTATAAAAATACGAGCAGATACAGAATCAATGTCAATTAAATTAAAATACATAGACCTTTAAGCTTTGCTATTTTACATGACCAAGATAACAGTGGCAATCTTCTAGAAATAAGCAGTTCTCTTAAAAATACTAATCAAGTAAACTTTTTCATTTCTCCTCCTATCAATACAAGCAAACTTTTTCATTACTCTCTTTTTACACCTCTTTCTGATTCAATACCTTAGTCAGTGTTTTTCTTCACACGCAAGAAGTCTCTGGTGACAATAGCTAGATCACTATGTCAGTTGAACAAGATCTTGCATTATTTCATTTTTATGACTTGCTATACAGTCAAATCCACTTTCTTAACAAGATACTTTGTATTAAACTCAAATAATACTTGATCTAGCATGCATCCAAGAGGATGTAGCTACAAGTACTTCCCTTTTTGTTTCTTTGATCTAATAAGATACTTACAATTAGTTTCGATATTTTACTTGATTTAAAGCATAAACTTTCATGGAATATTCTATTTAACGAGTATTATTTATTGCTTGGTTTGACAGACTTTCTCTACTGTTATTTAATGATTTGGTTAACAAAGATATTCGGATAAGAATTATGGTATAGAATGTGATTTTACGTAACTTTGGGAAAAACATATTCTTTCACCTATTCATTCTACAAAATTCTACTTGAAAAAGCTCCTCTTTGCAGCATTTTCATAAATAACGATTTGGACTCAAGCCGCTAATCAAACCATAGCTACATGAGATATTCCAAGATTCTTAATTTACATATCTACATAAAGAAAACACCTCACCCTTCAATAAACCACCAAATGTTAACAATTGAGGGTAGCGTCTTGGCTTTCCTTTGGGCCAAGGCAACGCAAAGCATCACAAGGCCAAGGCAAGGCAACGCAATGCATCAATACCAAGAGACATGGAACAAAGGGTAGACCAAAAGCATGAATAAGATGGTCTCGAGCACCAAAGAAACCTCCTAGATTCCAAGAATCACCTTGATGCATAATTTTGTTTGGTCTAAATATGGTATCCGGAGGCCAAATTTCAAGGCTATAATACAATAAATTGAACAATTTTTGGAGATTTCGAGAACCAGAGATGAAAAACGCACGGAATGGTAAAGGATGCATCCTGGGGTTATATTATGTTATTTGGAACCATAGATGACCATAAGTTGGTCACATAAAGGTTTGTGGTAGCCTTAAGTTAACAAATAGAGGTATATAAATTAATGGCTAATTAACAGTTTAGAGGCAAATAGATGGTTCTAACCACCCAAATGGCCACCTAAGGTGTCATGGGGTCCATGGGAAGTACCACAAACCTTTCCCTTTCTGAGGCCAAAAAATTCAAAAATTGCTCGAAATTAAGGCAATAATCCACGCTTTTGGACTAAGTTCGGGAAATTATCCTAAAATTGAAGTGAAACTGTATGGTATCTCCGAGATCATACAAGTTGGTTTGGAACCATAATTGAGTTTGGGTCCACCATGTGGTTAATGTGTTGTATTAGTAGTTAAAAAATACAAGAAATGGTTTTAATCACCAACTTGTCATCACAGGGTCCAATTACCAAATTCATGACTTACCAAATTACCATACTACTATGTAACTATGTTATTGATTTTAATCATACTATATTATATTGGTTATGTGTTTGTCACTTAGCACCAATCATTGTTGACTTTAGTTGATTGTTTACAATTATTCAACCATAATGGAATGAATGAAGCTTTTTCAATGAAAATTATATGGAATATCATCTCATGTTTGGCTACAATAGTCATTATTGAATAAAAATCACCACTTACTGTCTTAAATTTTCCTCTTTTTTTTTTTTTTCCTTTGTATCTTTACTTAATTTTTCATATTTTCCCCTTTTTTTCTAATAAAATACTTCCTCCTTTTCTTTTTAATTGCGCCATTTGAATTGGGCACGGGATAAGAAAAAGTATAAAAGATGGAGTATGCAAAAGTGCCTATGTGAAAAAACCAAATGAGAGATAGAAAAGGTGAGGTAATAATGGTTGTTATCACATGTGACCAAGGGTAGGTAGGGAATTTTGTGTGTGAATACAACCAAAAAGTGAAAAAAGCATACCATATTGGGAAATGGTGCAATTAATATGCAACTTCCCAAAAATAAAAATGGTGCAATTAAAAAAAAAAAACGGAGGAAGTACATACAAGATTTATATTTGAAAAACAAAAATAAAATAGTACAATATTTTTAAGTGAAGTACCATATCTTATGTAAACAAATTGCAAGTACCATATCATATGTAAACAAAACTCCTCACTCGTCACCAACACAAACAACCCTTCCTTCCCACAGTACCTTATTCCCATGTGAAAATAATCTCCGAACCTCAAAAAAGTGCAATAGGCCCCCCTAGGAGCTCCTAAAAATCAAATACCCATTCTCATAATTTTCCCAAGCTCAATCCTTTTTTGGGGATTTTTCCCCACCTTTCCCTATTTTCACCTTTTTTTTTAACCCTATGTACCCAATTTTTGACTTCATAAAAAAAATTCTGAGAAAAAAAACAAGCTTAGTACTCATGTTGGATTCCACCCAAAAAAAAAAAAAAAAAAGGTTGTTATGATCACATTTTAACAAATTTTGAGCCATCAATATGTTATTGTAAATAGGCTGTTCATTGGGTATACAAGCTAAATCCAAATTAAAGCTCTATAGGGAAAGATCGGCAACTCAGAAGCCTTCTCTAGGAGAAGGTGGTGCGCTTAACCAATTATGCACATAAAATTCTCACTGGAGTGCTTCATGGAAATTTTGACAGTTTCGTAGCTTCGAGGCCGGATAAGAGGACCTGGCCATCTCATATAACCTAGAATGACACGGACCTGACCTTGAACCTATAACAATTTTGGTGGTTAAATACTCAAGTTGTTCCAAACTGCTAATTTTGGTACAAAAAGGTATTCACCAAACAAGAACATCACCATTATGGTCTGCTAACCTGACACAGCAATCATCTGCTTTCACATGTTACAAAAAATACTACACCCCTCTATCTTAGTAAAAAACTGAAGTAAATATTATTCATATCCTTAGCCTTACAGTTAATCTGTTATTTTCCATTGATTACTCCAGTACCTTGCCCAAGACTTGGAGGAGATTCCAATAATGCCAAATCTTCCCAGGATAAAAAGGTAAACGTATGCTTAAGATACCCCTAATTTTTACTGGAGCATGCACACACACACTATGACACCATAAACATAGAGATAACACTTAACAGAGATAGATAATTAAAAAATGCATAGGCATATTATTAAGAGAACCCACCCTTGTAAACCACCATGACCGAAAGAATGAGAGGGGGGGGGGGGGGGGGTGAGGGTGTGAAACAAATATGAACAAATTAGAAGCAGCAAAAATAATTACCTTGAGGTCTGTAGAACCATTACTAACTACATCTGAAACCAAAGATACATTGCAGGCATCATCTTGCATTAAGTTGTATGTTGAGGTCAAGCTTACAGTAGCGGAATCTAAATTTTCTTTAGCTACAGACCTACCTGAAGTAAAAAAGGCCAGATGATAATATATATGAGCTCAATATACGGGTAATAGTGTGATATCACTGTCCTGATCAGAACATGGCCACAAGGCACAGACTTGGACTAGTCATCACAATAAAATTAAAGTTAATATTTTTGCCAAATTAAAGATCAAGTAGATTGTGTTCGCTGACATTATTAATAGCAATCACTCTTTCAAGTTCTAACTTTAAAATCCAAAAGCAGGATGCAGCTACACAATATTATGCAACTCAAAATTCGTTGCCCTTGACCTAAATTACTAGTGTCAAGGATTTTTTAAAAGCCTCATATGGAAATGTTTGAATATGAGTCTTCAACTACAGCAATTATACATGGAACAACCTGAGACTAGTCTGTTGGACACCTACAGAGTGTACAGCCTCTATGCATCCAATTAACATCAACTAAATGTTCACACCATATAAATCACATACTTAAGTTAACCCAACACCAAAATAACCTAAAGCTTTTGACCTTAAATATTATATGCTAATACATAATTATCCTATTATAAGCCCATGGTTGTCTTGGTTCAACGTCAGATGACTCACAACATAGTCAAACCTCAATGCATAATCACAATTGTTTGGTTCCTATGGGAAAGAATCTGTTAATGTAGTCAAACATGATGCATAATCGTAGTTATGTCTACACCAACAAGATAGTCAAGCAGTTGTTACTTCTCCTCCACCATTCTTTAGTAAAATTTTGTGTTTCTATACATTGGAGGCAATCACATTGCAGCGTGATTATAATAAGCAATCACTAAAACAATTAATAGAAAAATCCATCAGTCCATGAGTTGTGAGTTGACTTGTGACAACATCTGCTCATTTATTATGGATAAAGTCACCAGATAATACAAATATTTGGATCCATAAAACCCAACCAACCACCCTTTAGACTCTTATGTCTGTTTCAAACACAAAATTCTGCTGCTACACTATTAATTCAGAATATAGTAATTGGACAGCAGAAGAGATAAAGAGAAGGTGAATATGACTGAAATGGAAAGAATAAAAAGAGCATATTTTCATCATCGCACATTAAAACTTCCCTTCCCATCTAAGCTTTTTGCATTTATTGGTTTCCTTCCAAATACGTCTTTTAGATCCTTCCATCTCATTCTTTACTATAAGATTTCCTTTCTTATTAGAGAGGAGGAACAAATAATATCACACATTATTCATATTTAGCACCAAAAAAACCTATCAGCCATATTGTACCTTATGGACTTTCACTTAAATGAGGAGAAGGAATAGTGAGTTCACAAAAGTGCAGAGTTGCATAGGTGATAAATCTTGTGTTGCTTGAAAAATTCAAATGTCCTTTTTTCATAAGAATATATTCATATATAATTTCCACAATTAGTCCTAATAATTTTTATTGCTTGCGACTTCTGAAGCTTCCAGCTAAACATCAACAACAGCAGATCTGGCTGTTTAAAGCTCACCTTTGCATACAAGATTTGCACAATTTATCTTCAAGTGATTGACTAGGTCTTAAAAAAAAACTAAGAGCTCAATTTTGGATATTCCTAAAGTGAATCAACACAAACCCAAATAAGGAGTCCTGGACATCTTCACAATCTATTTGGGGCGAATTTCAGTGCATAGCCTTAAGAAAGGACTGGTGAATTCAACACAAACTAAAAACACATATTGCAAAACATAATGATTAAAATTTAATGCAAACGGCTTGAAAAACAATTGCCACAGTGGAATCCCCATTGAAACATGGACAAATACTTCAATTTAAGCCACGCACAAACACCAGCAAGATTCTGTGAAAATCATAGCTTAAAATTTAAAAGCTACTGTACTTATCAAGGTTGAGACATTTACAGAATACAAAACATGAAGTTAGATAAATGAGTAGATATGTAACTATGTAAGGCTTGTATTAGATAAATGAGTTTGATGTCAACAGATTACTACTCCATACGCCACACATATCTCTTGCACTGTGTCAAATAATATCTATTCTGTTGCATTTAATACAGATTCTAAATTTTGGGAAACAGCAGCAGGATCATGCAAATAGAGTAGTGGCGATGACATATCAAGCAACAACAGCGTATCTTTAGCAAGATATGGGAATTTTCTTACCATAGTTTGATTTTCTAGCAGATGAGGTGATAAAATCTGCACCTTTCTTCTCAACAACTCGAACATTATCAGATACCTTCTTCTGAGATCTCAGTGTTCTTGTGTTGTTAGGCTCTCGAGCCGAACTTTTAGAAGAAACTCTCTTCTTGGTCTGCATTGCCAAAGTTAAAATGCTTTGGACCTTATTATTTACCACACTTCAGTCAGAAACCAACCTCGGATGTTAGCTGCAAAACCAATATCTCCTTTGAGATTAACACGGCGAAGAAAAATATAGATAATCTAAAGATAGCCTAACACAACATTGCTATTTGCTACAATGAACTGCTTGAAAATGTACTGCAAGTTTATGTACAAGACCTTGGATAATATCCCGCTTGACTTCAGATACACTTGTAACATACAGACTTAAATGTAGTCTAGTAAATCTACCACACAAGCAATCAAACTGCTAATGATACTCCTAGTAACGGTTATAAGTGTGAAAACTCAAATTCTGCAGTGAGTAAATATCAAGACTCAAGAGTCTCCTACCAAAGAACTTGCCAATTTAATAGATAAAAAAATCAACAATAAAAATGGTAGGGAAAAAAAAATACTATAAAGTTATACATATGCATCAGCTCCAATAATCCTACCTATATATCAAAATAACCCAAAGAGATATACATGAAATACTGCAACTTGCATCAATTACACGATTCAAATCCTCGAAAGGCGAAAAAGCTGCTGAGTTACATTCTTCTCCTTATCTACTACGAGTAACAATCAATCAATCGCATGCTAGAACCAACTACAATGAGATTAAATTTTCTATTATTTTTAGCAGGTTACACAGCAACACCACAAATTGAGAGCTCAAAACAAGTAAATAGTAGTACTCAAAAAAATATATATGCATCCAAGTTCCAATTCCATTTGCATTAGTTCAAATATAATATAAATTCACACCCCAATATATCTAGAAACAATTCATCTTAATTATATGATTTCCCAGTATAAATTACAAATTCAGCTTCCTAAACAGAAATGGGAACAAATCTTTAAATGTTTCAAATCATGCAGACAACTGAATAATGAACCAATATTTAATTACTCCATAAATCTTAAAACAAACTAATCAAAAACTTAACCAGATTTCCCACAAATAACATCAACCCCCAAAATAAAATTAAAAATAAAAATCCCCCAAATTACTGAAAACACTTCAAATGTACCCCAAGATAAACCCTAAAAATTTCAAACCCCAGATAAAAACCCAAGATTTAAACTTGAAATGTGAGCTAAAATGAGTTAATCAACAGTACCTGAACTCGATTTCAGCTTCTTTAATAAACCCAGAACAAAAAATTAATTTAAGAGAGAGAAAACAAAAACCCAATATTTATATTCAGTAATTTAAAGGAAGTAGAAGAACCGAAAATAGTTTTAATTAATTACAAACTTTTTTGATTTTTTTTTTTTTGTGAAGATTTGAAAGTCTTTTCGTTTTCCCTCCAAAGAAGAAAGAGAAAGTGAAAGAGGGAAAAATGAAAAATGAAAATGAAAATTGGAAAATGAAAATTCAAAATAAAAATTTCAGAAAAAAAAAAATTGTATGGCGTATTTGGCCTGAAATTCAGAGGAGAGAGAAAATAAAAATTATATGGCCGCCTGTTGAAGATAAGAAGTATAAATAAAATTAATTTTTTTATTTTTTTCCTTTTTAATGTAATTAGTAGTATACCACTCGCAGTAAACAGAATTTAATCACGCGCTAATTGAGATTTTGACACGGGTTTGTTTTGTTGAATTGACCAATAATAGAGGGTTGTGATTTGATGAAGGATTTTGGTGCGTATGATGAAGGATTGATGAGTATACAATACGCATACGTTTATTGTGTATATTAAATACTCCGTACAAAAAGTGAGGTTTTTGTGACTTTTTTAGTTTAATTGGTTAAATATTTACAAGTTGGTCCTTGTGATTTTTGCTTATTGTTTTAGAGACCTTTGTATTAGTCATGCTAAATAAGATGGATCCTTTTATCTAATGGCTAGTTGTGTCATGAGAATGTGATTTTTTGTCATTTGAATTGGGACTGTCTATATTATCATATGTTTAAGGTGAGATATGAATTAAAGTGATATAATTCCAATCCATTTGAATATAAAGTAGGTAGGGTTAATGTTTAGCTTTCAATCATAGATATGACACACTCTTTAAGTTTCTAGCTTTAAAAAAAATTAATTAATTATTATATTATAAAGGAAAAGTGTTAATTTTGAAACATTCATGACATGGAATAGTAAGTCATTTGAATTTACTAAAACTACGTGATGAAATTAAGTGAAACGCTAAACATCGCCCGCAATTTACCATATAAAGCCCACAAATATGATATGATTTGACCATTATGCCCTTTTTCTAAAATTGAAATAATCTCGGTGTAAAAAATGTGGAGCCGTACTGGCTCGCCTGGGGAGACCGGATGGCAGGCCGGAGATGCGGGGGACGCCGGAGGTACGTCGTCGTCGACGGAAAACGAGGTAAGTCACCGTTAAAATTCACGGTTTACCGTCGGAGTGGCTCTGGCGCCTAGGGTGGACGCCCAAACCGTAGCCTGGACGTCCAAGCCGGACGCCAGAACCACCAGAGTGGCGTCCAGCCCAGACGCCCAGACCACCAGACTGGCGTCCTGGGCAGACGCCACTCCACTGGGTGAGGCGGCCCTGCCAGGCGCCAGTCCAGTGGCTGTGGCAGCCCTGGCAGACGCCACCTTTAATAATTAATTTTTTTTTTTCTTTTTTGATTTTGTTGTTGTTTTTTATTTAATTTTTTTGTAAAAAAAAAAATCGAAAATGATTTTTTAAAAAAATTCGAAATGGGTTTTTTGTAAATTAAATTTGAAAATTCGAAATAGGTTTTTTTAAAATTAAATTTGAAAATTCGAAATGGTATATTTTTAAATTTAGTTTGAAAATTCGAATTGGGTTTTTATAAAAATTAAGTTTGATTATATATAATTATGTTTTTTTTTTGTGTTAATTCTGTGGAAATATAGAAATTAAATGTATTATCCGTTAAATGTATTTATTGTAATATATAATTGATGCAGGAATATGGTGGAGACGGAAATGATTACAGTGGGATATTTGGACATGATGGTCCATTCGAAGAAGCTCAACAGGCGATTGATTGGGCAAAACAGGTTGCAATTGCAGCTGGATTTTGCTTGGTAGTAGCAACTCATAAATCTCAACGGGATGGTAGAATGGATCGCATTTTGAGATGTGACCGTTATCGCAAAAGAGAAGAAAGAGATTTTCGTACAACCACTCGGTTTGACACAAAGCGGAAAGGTTGTGGGTGTGAGTTCAGAGTAAAGGTTCGACAACTACGGAGTCGTGACGGTTGGGAAGTGATAGGTTACTCTAAATGGGGGTATCACAACCATGAGATGATAGTATATGAAGAGGGTCATCGACAACTGAGCGGCTTAAGTCCTGCTGCGAAACTAGTTGTGAAAGAAATGAGTGATGCTCAAGTGAAGCCTGCTAAAATATTAGCATCTGTGTTAGAGAAATTTCCAGAAGACCATCCAAACCGAAGACACATCTACAACGTCAGACAGCAACTCAGGTTTGAACGGTCAGAGGGAAGGAACCCTATACAGCAGCTGCTACACCAGGCACAATCACGTGGTTACCTGTTCTGGTTTGATTCTGATGAAGATACAGCGGAGGTGACTCATCTGTTCCTTGTGCATCCTGATTGTGCTGATATGATCAAGTCTTGGCCATTTGTGATTTTGATCGACTCAACGTACAAGACAAACAAGTACAAGTTCCCTCTGGTTGAGATGGTTGGGATGGCTCCAACGAACCAGAACTTTCTGATTGGTCATGCAATCATCAGGGATGAGACGGCTCCAAGTTATTATTGGGTGTTGGAGAAGCTGAGAAACTACATCGGGCCTAATGTTCATCCAACAGCCATCGTCAGCGACTGTGAGGGAGGTCTCTTTGCCCCCATAGCAGAGCTGTTTCCCGAATCGAACCACTTATTGTGCACATGGCACATCAACAACTGCGTGAAAGTAAAAGCCTACAACCTTTTCAAGAAGAATTTGGAAATGGCAGAGAGATTGGTGAATGGTAAGTGGCGGAAGATCCTACAGGCTACCACAGAGGAAGCGTATGAGCGAGCATTGGCTAACTTCAGGGATTCGTACCAGTGGTGTCCGGCACTGGTGGACTATGTGATGCATCAATGGGTCCCTCACAGGGAAAAGTTTGTCAAATATTGGACAAACCAGGTACTTCATTTTGGGAACACTACAACATGTAGAGTTGAGAGCGCTCATAGAGCTACCAAGGACTGGATTGATTCATCGACCGCTGCTTTGGATACACTGTTCGCTAGACTGAACAAGTCAATTGAAACTCAGAAGAACGACATCAGGAACTCTCTAGAGGACTCCAGACGACGACATGGTACGATGTATAGCCATTTTATATTTAAGATTCTCCAAGGTCGTGTGTCGCACTACTGCTTGGGGTTGATTCTCACTGAGCTTAACAGGGTGAGGGACTTGGCTGACGAAGTGTATACTCGGTGTGGGTGTACTATTTCAGTTCCGTTCGATGTACGACCGAGTGTCCTCCAGCCATCCTTCTATTATTCGTGACGCTACTCATGTACTTCATGACATGTTCCACCCGTCTAACTTAGATTATGAGGAACCCGAAGGAGTTGACCGTCCTCGAGGTCGACAACGGCGGAACAGGAGTGCGTTTGAGTATATCCGTGGTCTTGGTCGTGGTCGTTCTCGTGGTCGGACATCGTCATCTAGTCGTAGTCAATCTTCATCGTCTGTGAATATGCCCCTGAGAACTGGTACGTTTTGGTTGTTTTTATTGCACATAGTTTTAAAGTGTTACTCCTGCCTTCTTAACTGTCTATAAATAATTATATGGTGAATAGGAAGAAACGATGTTGATCAGTTTCCGTACAAGGAAAGGATACCTGCGATCATCATGTCGTACTTGGAAGGGTGGAATGATGTAATCGGAGATGGTAACTGCGGATTCCGGGTCGTGGCTGATGTTTTTCAAATGGGCGAAGCCAACTACGGTTTGGTGCGTGAGTTGATGTACAGCGAAATTGCCTCTAACCGAAATGTTTATCGTCATGTGTACCAGGATGACTTGGATGGCGCTCTGCGGCGTATCCGGTGGGGAGGTGGACCTTGCGGCGAAAATCATTATTTTGACGCGCCCCTAGATCTGTTTGCCGTTGCAAACATTTACAAATGCGCAGTCATGCATTTCGGCCTGGGAGTGCATAGTCAAGCTTATTATCCTTGTACCACGGTTCTCCCTTGGCGGTCGCGTGAGACTGTCACCACACCGGTTAGAGAGCTAGCTATTGCGTTTCTTGGGTCGTCATACAGACATTTCATCCGACTAGACATGTCAACCGATTTTCCGGTGCCACCGATTATACCTCGGTGGTACAACATTCGCACAGCGAGCGTAGAGGGTTGGGATGCGCTATATAATGACCGGATCCACGAATGGAACACCCTAGCTGCATTTTAGTTTTTCATGTTTACATTCTTTATTTGTAATCTTATTTGTACGTTGCTCTTTTAATGAGAACATTAATATTTTATATTGTATTGCTTACTGCATTCTATATGTTGCATGGGTAAGTTGCGCGGATCCACGAACGGTTATATCTAGAATGTTACAATTTTACAACATAATGTCCAACATAATGCTCTATAAATAAAATACAATAACCATCAGTAATCCCTCCTCGACGACGACTCCCACTGCGCAAGGGTCTGTTCCAGACTATCAACAACAGCTCTCCCTGTTGCACTCATGCTGTCCTTCTCAAGAGAGAGTTTCTGTACGTCTTGCATTATCTTTCCCATCCACTGCATACAACAAAAAACAGAAGATGAAATACAATAACAACAAATAAAACTTAATTAAAAGACAACGATAAATATAATAAAAGACATACCGCTTCCGTGGCAGTAGGCGGTGGCACATAATCATCATCGCTGTGGTCGAGATCAGCGATCAACCTCGGGTGCGAATACCGGTTGAACCATTCCATGTAGTAATGGTCACACATGGGAGTAACCCCAGAGGGCGGCCGCTGCAACTCCGCAGTCCATAAGCGGGCCACCATCGGAAACTGGTCCCACGTCCCGGTCATGATATCCGGCCATTCCACGACGTACTCCCTCGACGATGCAGGTCGGACCGCCTTCATCGGGCACGCCGGGGGAGGAGGGACAACTTGGACAAATCCAAGCTGGCGAAGACAACGCTGGGGCATGTACGCCTCGACGATGTCACGATACTGAATGAGTCCCGTGTACAGTGTCCTGGGTACCCTAACACTAAGGTTCGGGCCGAAAGGCATCCAGTTCACCTGTACAATAACAACATATAAAATTTAATAACATGAATATAATATGTGCAAATAATAAAATGTAGACTCTATAAA